GCTATTTCTTTGCTTCTGAATTTACTCGTTAACTAAATTAACCTAGCATTTGAGCGCCTAGTATGTGTGAAGCAATACACTATTTTATACAACTTCCTATAGTTGTTCATTTGGATAGTTTACAAATCCCCAGGCCATAAACTATTAATATAACTTCACTCTTTCTATTCCAAATGTACAATAGATAGTAAATGCAAGCCTGTTGATGATAATGATGTAAATTATTCTAAGTATTTGCCAAAGAAGGTAAAAGCATTTAAAACTGTCCCTCCCACACAACCCCAATAAAAGTGAAAAAGTTAGGAACTGAAAGACATTCACAATGTACACACAGGATTAACATAAGCAATATAAAGAACTCTTATAAACCAATAAGAAAAACAAAAATAGGCAAGAGACATAAATAGGAATTTCACTGAAGCCGCCACATGAAAAAGGCCGGCAAACTTAAAAAGAAGTGTTCTACATCAGTGACAACCAGGAAAATGTGCATCAAGATAAAAAATAAGGCAACATTTTACACCCTTTTGATGTGTAAAACTTAAGAAGAGAATATCAAGTGTAGGAGAGGATGGATAACCAAAGGATCTTTTATTTCATACACTGCTAATATGAATATAAATTGGTGCAACCATATTGAAAGTTCTGCATCATCTCTTAAGTTGAACATTCACCTACCCTATGAGGTAGCAATGCTACCTCCAGGTGTATAATAGAAACTGTGGCACATACACAGTAGGAAACATGCACAGACTGTCCATAGGATCTTTGCTTATAATTACAAACAAAACAAAACAAAAACCAGAAAATAACTGCCCAACAAGGGAGAGTGGATAAATATCCAAACATCCACCAAAGGAGAGTTAATGAATATTTCACTCAATGAAATATTATACAGCAATTTAAATGAATGACTATAGCAACATGCAAAAATGTGGATCAATCTTATTTATAATAGGTGAAAAATCAAGTTCAAAAAGATTATATTCACAATTCTATACAAACAACTAAAAGACGTTTAGATTTACATGTCCAACTAACCTATACACAGTAGTCTCCTTTTATCCACCGAGAGACCCTCAGTAAATGCCTAAAACCATGAACAGTACTTAACTGTATATACACTTTTCCTTTAACATGCATACTGATGCTAAAGTTTAATTTATAAATTAGGCACAGTAAGCGTTAATCAACTAATAATAAAACAGAACAATTATAACTATACTGTAATTACAGTTATGAGTGTGGTCTCTCTCAAAGTATCTTAGTACTTATAAATATCTTATAGTACTATACTGTACTCAACTATTTTTGGACTACAGTTGAGCATGGGTAACTGAAACCGCGGATAAGGGGGGACTACTATATAAGGAAGAGAATGAACACAGGACTCAAAAATGATGACCTAGATGACAAGAAGGTGGAAATAGAGGGATAGAATAGAGGAAAACTATAGGTAGGTTAAAGCTCCTAGCTTGTTTTGAGAGAGGGGGAGTGGTGGTCCATGAGTACTTATTAAAATGTTTGATAGACAGATGATTAATCCAAGCAGTGTGCCTGATGTTTAATGCATTTTTTAAAAATCCAAAAGTTGCATAAAATTTGTTCAATGACAATTCTGAAACAGGGAGAACAAACACCTCCTTAGAGAATCCCTAAGGTAGCAACTACAGGCAAGGGAAAACGACATGATTAATGTATAAAATATATGATACTCAGGCCAGGTACAGTGGCTCACATCTGTAATCCAGGCACTTTGGGAGGCCAAGGCAGGTGGATCGCTGGAGTCCAGCAGTTCAAAACCAACCTGGGCAACATGGCAAAACCCCGTCTCTCCAAAAAAATATAAAAATCAGCCATGCATGGTGGCTCACACCTGTAGTACCAGCTACTCGGGAGGCTAAGGTGGGCAAATCACTTGAGCCCAGGAGGCAGAGGTTGCAGTGAGCCGAGATCACATCACTGCACTTCAAGCTAGGTGACACAGCAAGATCCTGTCTCAAAAATAAAATATATACATATATAAAACTTTCAGCACATGTATTGTGTGGTATGTATTCTATAATCAAAAATAAATTCCAAATTTTGTCATAACTACATTCCATTAAATTAAGGTATATATGAGCCAGGGCAGTAAAACTTTCACCAATTTGATAAGTCACTGTCAAATTTCCAAAAGAGATAAATCCTAACAGTATTATATAAGTCTTGTATATCCACTCATCTTTATGAGGCACTTCAACACTACCTTCACATCTAAGGTGTTTACTGTCATCAAGTACACTGTCCCATGCTTTCCTGATCTTCATTTTTTACAGGCAATATTTATGTATATAATGTCACACAAATTTCATTTTTGTGATTGCAAAAAAAGCCAAGTATGGTAACAGAGCTAGTTTCAAACAAGATGTCATCAGATAAAATTAAGAGAAGCTAGACATGCATCAAGATAAAGGTTCTCTATTTCTGTTTTATTAAGGAATTACTTTTTCATTAGTATATTTTTCCCACTCTCAATTTTAAATCTTTTTGAAGCTTTTAACCAGTTTTCAACTTTGCTGTCAAGTTTGAACTCTGCTGTATATCAAAAGTTAATCATATTAAATGTCATATACTCTAGAGTAAAACTGGTTTTTGAAATAATATAGACATTTGACAATTATCAGCACACTGTATTTTATGAGGGAATAATGTATAATTAACTGTTTTATTCAAATACCATTTATGATATGGAAGTAACATTATTTTAGGTGATGTTTACAAACTACTACTCTATTTGTTTAAAAGTAAACATACTTCTGATGAATGGCATGAAAATTTACCATTGCCAAATTCAAAAAGCAGAAATAAGAGCGCCCAAGAAATCAGATGCTAAGCTCTGGGATAAAGAGATGATGTCTAGAAGGTGTCCCTACTTCTCCCTATTTCAACACTATGTAAATGGTAGGAACTGCAAGACACTAGACCTAATCTCTATAATACTAATGAGAGATGACCAAAAAAAAAAAAAAAACAACAAACCACCATGGTAGAGCCATCATTTAGTAACACTAGTTTAACACAGAGACTTTTACTTGGTAGTCAAGAAATATTTAGAAAGTTATTTAGCAAGTTTAATTCAGTAAAGTATGCGCTGCAATTTACAAACATCGTGGTAGTCTATAAGAGCAGCATCAAACCTAAGCTGAAAAAACACACGGTATTGATATATTCAAAGAAATTGTTGCTATACTTCATTACTGTCTATTACTAAATCCATACTACTGCACTTTTCGTTGAGACAGGGTCTCACTCTATCACCAAGGCTGGAGGTGCAGCCGCATGATCTCGGCTCACTGCAACCTCCACCTACCAAGTTCAAGCGATTCCTGTGCCTCAGCCTCCCCAGTAGCTGGGACTACAGGCGCACATCACCACACCGGGCTAATTTTTGTATTTTTAGTAGACAGGGGTTCACCATGTTGGCCAGGCTGGTCTCGAACTCCTGACCTCACGTGATCCACCTGTCTCAGCCTCCCACAGCACTGGAATTACAGGTGTGAGCCACCGCGCCCAGCCTGCACTTTTCTTCTTAATAAAGCAGTGACTCATAATTGAAATATTCTGAGATTTAAAAAGTAAAAAAAAAAAAAAAAAAAAAAAGCTAATTAGATCCACTCATCTAGAACCGGAGGCAAGAAAAAATTTTTTAAACTACTGTGATTTCTATCTTAAAACTCTCTGAGCTTCATTTTTCTTCAAAATTCTAGTAAGTAAAATGAGATGAAAAAAAAGAAAAAATGGACTCTACGGCCATGGGACTTTTAGGTGGGAAAAGTCTGTCAGTCTTTAAGTGACAGAACTATGAGCAACTTTTATTTTCTTTTGTGCTTTTCCACATTTTCTGGATTTTCTGTAATACATGTGCATTACATTTCTAATTTGAAAACAATGTAAAGTCTGTCTTAACTACCCGGCTTACCTTCTCATACTACCATCCCCCAAACCACCCTAAAATTGTAATCCTCCCAACTCAGACCTTCCACTTTCCAGTGTCACTGCAAAATTAGACACCACCTTCTAATTTTCCATTAAACGAGTAAACTACCAGTGTGCTATATGGAAGAACGATGTAACTATTATAGAAATCCGTTTAGTACTTTTAAAGGGAATATTTTTGGGAAAAGGGATTAGAAACGTAAATTAAAGAAAACTACGTAATTTCATATGTCAAAGATTATAATGAACTTCTCTTAAAATAATCTAGACATCCCTCATCCTAGGTGACAAATGGAGCCTTCTCATCAATGTATTGTGCTCCTACTAAGTGTCAAACACAGAGCTAGGTTACATATGAGTATAAAATTTTAAAGCAAAGCACAGACAGTCTACAGAGTAATGTCAAATCTTTTGGGAAGTTTTGGGCAAGCATGTGACACCTTTCATGAGAAACAGTAATTCTTAATGAAGAAATCCTGTAAAAAGATTATTTGTACTATGATTCTTTGTGAAATATTAGACTGTATTTACAATAATAAAACACTGCTACATTATAGACTACCAAGTTGAATGTAGAAATCATTTTTCCTTGTTACAGATGGAGCTAACAAGTTAAGTTAATGTTGGTAAATTACATTTTTGGCCAATCTGTAGAAAGTTCACACCACTATAACATTAGATGCAAAATATTTATAGTTTCCCAGAACTGTGGCAATTTAAACAATGGTACAGTGGGGCCGGGCACAGGGGCTCACACCTGTAATCCCAGCGCTCTGGGAGGCCGAGGCAGGCAGATCATGAGGTCAGGAGTTCAAGACCAGCCTGGCCAACACAGTGAAACCCCGTCTCTACTAAAAATACAAAAAATTAGCCAGGCGTGGTGGCAGGTGCCTGTAATCCCAGCTACTCGGGAGGCTGAGGCAGGAGAATCGCTTGAACCTAGGAGGCGGAGATTGCAGTGAGCAGAGATCGCACCACTGCACTCTAGCCTGGGTGACAGTGCGAGACTCCATCTCAAAAAAAAAAAAAAGAAATAGTGTAATGGGAAACATATAGACCTGGGTTCAAACTCAGACACACAATGTAACCATAAGCAATTTACTTAATATTCTTGAACTTAAGTTTCCTGATCCACAACATGAAAATAACACCCACCTTATTGGATCGCTGTAAAGATCAAATGAGGTGTATAGGATACTAAGTACAATGTCTGATATGTAGCAAATAATTTTTAAAATGTTGTTTGTACTCTCTTACAATTATCCTCTAGTACAATTATCTATACTCTCTTCTGGAAAGCAAAAACCTATCTTGTCATCTTTATATCCTCCAACATAGCCTTGGTAGATACTACATAACTGTTTGGTGAAATTAACCCCCGTAATTTAAGGGTAACTATCTCAGCTTTCCACTTGAGCAAGTTACCTCTATCTAAATAAAATCTGCTGAGAATGGAATTTAAAATTCCCAGACCAACACTTTATTGGGCATTTTGATGAAGAAAATGAATCTCCAATAATCAACAAGATAGCTTTATTAGCACACTGCTCAATATTTGGTCTGCATTCTACAAAATTACTATTGTAGCCAACACTTTCATTTTGAGATTCTTTACAGTTTTCATTAATCCAGGTTCCTTGGAAATAAACTTTAGTTTCTTTGGCATTGCAAAAATGTCTAAGTTTTCTGCTATACTTCAAATAAAAAATAAAGAGAATACAACACAACAAATTAGTTATGAGATAAAAATTAGAAATTGGCCATTTTAAACAGCCAATTTTTATTTTTATTATGGTAAATATTCTTCCTTATACCTTGAAACCTCTAGCCACCAAAGTTTACATAGTTTATTAACGCTTCCTTGTTGAATAAACCTCCTGAATTACTACCAATACTTAAAAACATTACTCCATGCTATTACAGTAATTAACAGGACAGAATACTGTCGTTTCAGATTTTCTTACTTTGCCTTTCCACGACCAAAAGCTAATTCCAGCTCAAGCAGTGGAGTATTTCAAATTCTACAATTTGAAAAAATAATGAAAAGCTGGATATATTTCTAAATAAATATCAATTTCATTAAAGGTAGGTTGTAATATGTAACTTTCAGAGTAAAACAAGTATTCCTGAGACAGAATACATAGCAAAGTAACAGTTTTAACCATTAAATACATCTTAAAACTGGCTACAGAATCTCTTAAATACTTAAAATCTGTATGGCAGAAAAGAATTAATAATGTCATATTAAACAGTATTTCAGTCTAAGTTCAAACAATTTAGAAGCTTTTAAAAACACTGATTCTTGAAACGAAAGTTTAATAAATACTTGGTTACTGTACACTAAGTTTCAGGACCCAATGAAATAAAATGTTTGAACGGATGGAAATATTTGGTGAAGCAAACTTTATGACTATCTTTAGTGTTGATGTAAGTAATATTCTCAAAAATTTTAATAAACACGATAAAGTTTAAATGCAATAACTTTTATCAAAACTGGGAGTCAAATAAACCAAGAAAATGACTTGGATATATGACAACCTATAAGGTAACACTTAATAAAAACTATTCTTTTTTCTGGAAGGGGTTATATTTCAGTTTATCTAGAAGCTTAACTTTAGGTGTTCCTCTATTTTGGTCGTATTTCTAAGTCATCATATTGAAAATTTCTTCCTTCTTTGCTTGCTTCCTTGTTATTACCAAAATTGATCTTTTTAATTAAAAGATCCTAAATGTTGTATTTTAATACACATGAAAATATAATTTTCAGTTCCAGTGCCGAAGTAGGTGTCTTTTATGCCAATTTTCTATAAAATACAAGTAACAATGCCAAATATATTATAACCCGAACACTGCTCAATTCAAAAGAAAAATGACCCTATCATCCTTCTCAATCAAAACCAAAGTATGTTTTTCATGGTTCAAGACCAGGTAATGTAAAGTATTTCTCACTTGCCTCACATCATCTCCATTTTAAAAGCTGATGCAAAATATTTACTATTAATAAAATAGTAAATTACACTCATTTAGCAAATGTGGTATGCTGTAAGATCTGCTTATAAAAGGCTAACTGTAATTAAAATATTACATAGCAACATTTTCAATGATATGAAATTCAGCTTTGCATTACCAAAGGACTCTAAATGTGCAACACTGCATTGGTATACATTGTTACAATCTCTATTTTTGTGGAGGAATATCAACTATTATACCAACGTTTTCAACCTTACGTCTGACTGCACAAGAAACCAAACTTATAAAGAGATTTCTTAAAAAGTGTATTTAAACAAGAAATTTAGATGCAGTTGCAATACTTAATTTTGACATCAAGAATCAACTGTTTCAGAATTTCTAGATTTAGTCTTTCTTTAAAAAAATTAACTGTCCAACACACAAAAAGACATGCAAGCATGCTGTTTTTTCCCCTAATTCCCATCTACAATCTTCGAGTAGCTAAAAGATAACTATATTAAAATAAAGCAAAATAACTTTTAAGTCAAAAAAACATGAAATTTTAACATATTTGTTAAAATTCAGATGTAAACACTTCTGGAACACTGCCAAGTAATGAAAAACCCGACAGGGTAGCTTAAGTCCCCATGTACACCATAGAGATCTAAAAACGAAAATCGTGCCTACATCATCAAATATTTAGCTGGAAATGGGAAAATAATAATACTGCTACTCGACATGGACTTAACTAAGCGATCTATTTTGCTCTTATCTTTTGCAGACATGTGGTGCCCAATGTTTTCCCTTTCTCATTAGTAAACAACTTATATAGCTCTTTCTCTGGTGCTCAAATGAGAGGGAAAATGAAAGTCTGAAAAGCATCAGCATCTGAGCTTCCGGATCTGGGCAGGGGTAGCCGAGAAACGCACCGTGTATCTATCACTTAGTTTAAAAAAAAAAAAAAAGGAAAAGAAAACGATAGCTCTCAAAATAGAGGAAAGAAATTCTGTCACCTGAAGAGGGCTGGCGAAGTGAAGCAAGCATTTGGTGAGACTCGTTTTTTTTAAAAAAACTTGTCTAGGGGCTGGAAGTTATGGGGGCGCTCTTTGTGCGGAGTCTGAGGGGAGGGGGAGGGACAAGAAAACAGCTTGGGAGTCATTCAAAAGAGTTTAAGGAGCCGAGTACGGAGGAAAGGCGGGGCGGGGCCCAGCCGCGCGAAGGGAGGGGGCGACAGGGGCGTTCGCGGGCAGCTCTGACACCGCGGGAGGGGGCGACGGGCCGGCCTCTCCAGGGACCGGGCGAGAGCAGGCTCCAGCTGCAGCAGGGCTGCAGAGATGGGGTTCCCTCTGGTAGGCAGAATCAAAGCAAAGCGGTGGCAGGCCAGGGCTTTGGCGGGGGAGAGGGTCTGGCTCCCGAGGGAAGCGGTTCCCCGAGGGAAGCAGTTCCCGAGTGACATCCCGGACTTTCCGCACTTAGCGGGCTAGGGGCGCGGCGGCCGCAGGGCTTTCCTTGGTCCCCGACGCCGCGCAGGGCTCTCTCCCTGTCTACTCAGCCAGCGACTCTCGCCAGGGCCGCGGCCCTTACCTGCAGTTCCGTGAGCATAATCTCCCCCCGTTCGGGGTTGGACGCCATTGCGCTCCGGTATGGACTCCGCACCTGGAGGCGGCCGCCGCTGGCAAAGGGAGAAGGCGGGACGGGGCTCAGGGTGGGGGGTGAGGAACGGGGAGAGAAAGAAAAAAAAAAAACACAAAAACTAGGGATTCATGGAGGCGCAGCCCCTGCTGGAGGCGCGGCTTATTCCGTCCGGTTCATCGAGAGCGGCGGGGGAGCGAGGGCACTCGTAGCGGGCTTCTTCTCGCCGCCCGCCTGCCGCCGCCGCCGCCCGCACCGGACTGTTCGCCTAGTCGCTCCCTCTGGGCGACGCCAGGAGCCGCCTCAAGTCTCTCCGTGCGGGGCGCTGCGGCCGCGGCTGCAGCTCCTCCTGTCGCACCATTTGGCTGTCACCGCGTCGCAAAAGCGGCCTCACTTGGCGGCTGCCAGCACACGTGACGGCGGCAGTCACTGCCTCTCATCGGGCTGGGAAGGTGGGGCAGAGGGGTTCCCCAGGGCTAGCAAGGCGAGGGGGCGGGGCGGTTTCCGACCCGACTCCGCGGCGAGGGCAGCCATTGGACTCGGCTGGGGTGAAAATGAGGGGAAAGGACTGGGCTGGAGTCTCTGGGGAGGCGGGAAGAGGAAGAAAACACACGCCTACTTTCCTGCTACGTTAACGGCCTCACTGAACACTAGAACTCGGGAGCCTGCTCGCTGTTGTTTTTTTAGGTTTTTTATTTTTTTTCTTTTTCTTTTTTTCCCCCCAGTTCTACCTTGCCGAAGCTTGGGCCTAACTTTAACAGGCACTTTTGTAACCTCCACAACCCAAAAAGCTTCGGAACTCAGATCTTACAGATTACTCCTCTGTTCTCCCATTGCCCGGCCATCCCCATCAACCCAAACTAATAATCTTGCCTTTTGCTCACCCTCTTCCCCAGCCCACAGCGCGCCTTCTGGACCAGTTAAGGTGCGCAGCTTGCTAAACGGGTCTGGTCTGTACTTTTCATGAAATGTAAGCGGCTGCATCCCTGGCAACTTTTAATGCACAGCCTTTAAGATGCCTTTTTCTTGAAGCTGAACTACTGTTTCTTGTGCTGGAGAACTCATTAGCTGGTTTTTTGGATTGTTTTAACTTTATTTAAAGAGGGAGGAGGTGGGACGGGATTACCCTCGGGAAAGGAAAAAAGCCAACTTCCCTTGTCGTGGTAAGCATTAAAGCTAACCTGACTACTTAATAACATATAGCTAAGTAGAGTAAATCTAGGTGTTTGTTTTTAATGACACTGTAGTATTAAGGAATTTAGAAGTCTCCCACAGGTAGCTTTTGTTTTTGTTTTGTCTGAGCAGTGAATGGATAGGTAAACACGTAACTTTCAATTTTTTGAAGCTGCGGTGCAATTCCTTTGTTAAAAACTACCTGGAGAAAGTGGTAAGGGTTATTTAGGTAGGTTGCTACTTAGGAAGGACATTCGTTGACATACTTCTTAGGAAGCGTAATATTACGTACTTGTCACACGCTCCGTGTAAATCTGCTGGGCTGATGCTAGGACTTATGTTTATCCTTTTGCCTTCTCAAGTCTCATATATCAATTCAGCAAACATCTATTGAAGATCTGGAGTTCTGTGGCCACAGTTTCTGAATTCTAACTCATATGTGTGTGATAAAGAATTTTTCTGGTGTGTACTTCACAAGTCTTACAACTATTTATATATCTAATATATTGCCTTGGTTGAAAGTGATAATTAAATTTACGTGAAAGAACACTTGGAAAGGCCAGGATATGATTACCTTTCCTGGTAACTAGAAGCCAGATGGTGTCCTAGGCTTTGGAGTTACAGCAAGGATTAAGAGTTCTTATCCAATCTCAGGACTTTGGGAGGCCAAGGCAGGCGGATAATCTGAGGTCGGGAGTTCGAGACCAGCCTGGCCAACATGGTGAAACTCTGTCTCTACTAAAAATACAAAAACTAGCTGGGCATGGTGGCGTGCGCCTTGTAATCCCAGCTACTCCGAAGGCTGAGGCAGGAGAATTGCTTGAATCTAGGAGGCAGAGGTTGGAGTGAGCCTCTGCCTCAAAAAAAAAAAAAAAAAAAGAGGTCCTTATCCTTGGAGTGACTGGAGAATTCTTTGGGGAAGCCAACTTACATCTAAACAACAATAATTTTAAGTAATAGATACAAAGTGTTAGGGGAGCACTGCATGCTTTTGTGTGTGTGTGTGTGTGTGTGCATGCATGTTTTATTGTGGTAAAATGCGTAATCAAATTTATTGTAACCATTTTAAGTGTACAATTCAGGGGCATTGAATGCACACAGATTTATTTATTTATTTTTGAGACGGAGTCTCGCTATGCCACGAGGCTGGAGTGCAGTGGTGCCATCTCAGCTCACTGCAACCTCCACCTCCCAGGTTCAAGTGATTCTCCTGCCCCAGCCTCCTGAGTAGCTGGGACCACAGGCACGTGCCACCACGCCTGGCTAATTTTTGTATTTTTAGTAGAGACGGGGTTTCACCATGTTGGTCAGGATGGTATCGATCTCTTGACCTCGTGATCTGCCCGCTTCAGCCTCCCAAAGTGCTGGGATTACAGGCATGAGCCACCGTGCCCGGCCTACAGATTTATTTTTGTCACAGCTTACTGCAGAATGGATTTGAGATGGCTGTCATACACATAGAAGGTGATTAATAATGGTGGAACTAAGTTAACTGTGCAAGGGCTTAGAAATACAGTCAATGAGCAGTCTTTGTAAAAATTAATTTAGATATAAATGTTCACATTTCAGCATCATGTAATTTTAGAACTAGAAGTGACTTGAAATACCTAGCTTAACTCCTATTATAGGTAGGAAAAAAATAACAAATAGTTTCCTTAGCTATTTAGGAACAAGACAACAGTATTACTTAGTGGCAGAGGTGGGGACTATTACCTAAGTCTCCTAATTGCCATTCATGCTTATTTTAACCTTCACCATGCCACTATAATAACTTTAAATTGATATTAAACTGAAAGCATTAGACTCTCTTAAATTTTTACCATAGAAAAATACTTTAAATTTTACATACTTCTAATGTTAAAACAATGTTAATAATTAAAAAAATTTTTTTGAGACAGTCTTGCTCTTTTGCCCAGGCTTGACTGCAGTGGCATGATCATAGCTCACCACAACCTCAAATTCCTGGGGACAAGGGATCCTCCTGACTCATCCTCCCAAATAGCTGGGACTATAGGTACACACCACTGTTGATAAGAAATAATAATTTTACATTTTACCTATAAATTTAAGCACAAATATACAAAGTTTTAAAAGTTATGGAATTATTTCTGAGATTAGCCGTGCTAGGGAAAGTAGTACAAAATGGAGGCCAACAATATTAAAACTACTTGATAATCTGAAATATGTGATGATTTAAACAGCAAATTAGTTTCATTTAAGCTGAAATTTACTACCCAGGTAACATTCTCTGTTGAGGGGGAAAAAATGTAATAGGACATGGATCATACTTATCAGACTGCAGCACACTTGAAAAAGTTTTAATAGAAACACATACCAGCTTGATTCAGATGGGTTGTATTGGGCCCCTGTTTACAAATGTGTTTAGGGAATCCTCAATCTAGTTCTGAAGTTGTGGTCTAATTTACGTTAACAATAAAAAAAAAAAAAAAAAAAAAAAGAGTTTTTTTAGCATCCATTTAAGAGGGCAAAGTCCTTAAAATTATCTGGATTGTATCACTAGTTATGCGGGTACCTTTTTAAATTTTTCATAAATATTTTAAAGGTCTTTAAGAAGTAGAAATGACCAAAAATCTAGACTGAATAGAAAGTGTTATCTTTTTTTCTTAAAGATGAGATGTTACAGGAAAAATTCTAGAAAAGCTAACAATTGTTTTTTTTTTTTTCTTTTTCTGTGTTTTTGAAACAGATACTCTGATAATATGGGCCCTCTTTTTCCTTAAATTTCAAGTGAAATGAGACAGGAACCATATATCCAGGGAAAGGGCCAGAAACCTTTATTTTGTGAGTCACATTTTTTATTGCCTTCCGTTGTGTATTTCCCTGTTGCTCTTCCTTAATATTTGTAAACTGTGCAAATTCAAACTTGTCCCTACAGTATGATGGAGAATCAATACGAGAGTTTTGTTTTCCTTTCGTCGTTGTTGTTTTCCATGTTTGTGTTAGAAGAAAAAGCCCACCCCTGCTTCCAAAAGATTAGAATGAAGTAGCAGTGGTAATCAAAGTAAGAGTGCCTAAGGAAAGGCAAAACTCCAGAGGACAGAATAAGAATTACTTGGTCACCACCCTTTTCTTAAGAAACCGCCTTGTAGAAATCATTCTCTTGTATGAGCTCTGAGGATAATTTTGAGAACAGGGTTCTTAAGATAAAGTCAAGAACACAGAAGAGTAGTCAGCTATAGTGACTACAGTAGCTGCTTTTTAGAATGTCAGCTCAGTCCACATCCACTTGACTGAGAATTCCTCCTATTCCCAGAGATATCTCTGAAGCCATGTTGACTCTGTTTAACATACCTCTTCCAGTAAACTATGATTAGATCACTGATAGACCATATCCAGGTTTAGCTGATCAGATTTTCCCTCTAAGACTTTGGAAACAGATCATTGGAATGCTGATCAATTGGCAGTCTAGAGTGGCAAGGTGTTGTTCTATGGATTGGATGGCCATTTTCTGCCAGGTACACAATGATGCAGAAAAACTGCTCTTTGGAACGAGAAAAAAATTTAATTCTTCCTATCACTGGGAATATAATGATTACCACAGCATACCTGGTCACTTTTGTCATGGAACTTGTAGTTTGGTAAAACAGTTACAATGATAAGGTAAATTCATAATACTTTAAACATAGGGCAGAGAATCTTTTCCTAAGTACTTCACACTTAAACTGAGTTCTCATAAGTGTGTAAATGTTAACGGGGGGGAAAAAAAGGTGTAAACAGCCTTCCAGAGAGAGAGAATAACATAGATAAATAGTTCTAATGTGGTTGGGGGAAACTTTATTGTAATTACTGCAAGGTTAAGTAGGTTATAGCAAAGAGATGGGGGAATAAGTAAGAGTGTGTAGACCATATGTATCAGGATAGGCTATGCTATAGGTTATCCTATGTATAGGATAGGTTATGCTATGTAACAAAATACTCCAAAAGCTTGTCAGTAGTCTACAAGAAGGTTTATTTACCTCCCATCCTGCATGCTTAACATGGCTCTGCTCCATGTCATCTTCACTCTGGACTGAGGCTGACTGACCAATCTAACATCATTGTCATGGCAGAAGGAAAAGTGGTAAAGCATGGTTCTTAAAGTATAGGCTCACATTTTTTTTCTCTTTTCAACAGCCAAACCTTTGCCACGCCTGAGAGCAACAAGGGGGCACAGACAGCGGTACCACAATGAAGGGTACTGAATGTGGGTGAATAGCAATCCAGTTCCATGTTTAAGATTTTGAAAGCCAGGGAGGGTGGCTTGTTCCTGTAATCCCAGCAACTCAGGAGGCTAAGGGAGGAGGATCATTTGAGGCTTGGAGTTAGAGACCAGTCTTGGCAACACAGCAAGACCCTCTCTCAAAAAATAAAATTTAAAAAAGATTTTGATGTTTATCATAGCAGTAATGGAAATACCATTGAATGAATTTTTCATTTTAAACAAGTCAAAATGGCTGTAATGAGGAAAACAGTTTTGAAATGGCCAAGAGTCGATTTGGAGAGAAAAATTAGGGGGCTGTTTTAGTTTTCTAGGCAGAAAAGGCGTGGGTAGTACTTTAAAGTCGGGTCATGGCAGTAGAAATGGAGAGAAGTCAATAGATTTAATAGATAGGAGAATCTAGTCATGTTCAGAGAAGCAGAGATGATAATATGTGGTCGCAGGATGGCAGAGGAAATATAGCAGGTTTGGTTCTCGATGTCTAAATAGTTGCTGGCTCCAGTCTTCCAGGAAGTCCAGCTACTCTCTTCTTTGTTCTTGGGTTCCTTGTATTCTCCTCATGAATTTCCCTTCCTGCTTGAGCTTGCGTGTGGTTGTGCATGTGTGTGCTTAAGCAAACAGCCATAACTAGGCTATTAAGCCAAGGAGATAACCATCAGAGAAAGCATGACACCACAGTTCTGCCTACAGGATACAAGTAAGTAGGACCAGCAACACAGTTTAACTGGTGTTATCTCTTCTTCCAGTGACTCCGTCTCTACCCATTCTGCTTATTGTTCCCAAAGGATCCTGACACCAGCAAATGTACAAATTATAAACAATGAGTACATATTAGATCTCATATGAACCTTCCCATAGTAGTTTGTTTATACATCTATTTGGGCAGTTTTTTCTCTACACAGTTATTGGATACAGTCTTGCTCTCACACTAAACTTTAAGCTGCTAGAAAAGGCCCATGTGTCTTAGATAGCCTAGTATAGTATCTCTTATGTCGTAAATATTTGTGTGTGTATATATATATGTGCATTTCTGTATGTATTACAGAAATTTAGGTTGTTAGCTAGGGACTGCATGGCCCTCAGAAAATTAGGTAAGCTTGCCTTGAAGGCCCAGTTTCGTAGCCTTTAAAGTCAAGAGCCTCTTTTCTTCTAGTCCATTTGAACCCTGAAAGGTTATTCACAAATACTTTCCTGCTTCTCTCTCCCTCCACATATATTCCCACAACACTCCTCTATCACCTTTGTTCTTTGACTATGCCTATATTGATAGGGACCAGAAGCTCAGCCTATAACTTTTAACTACCCAAACCCTCTGTCCTTAAGCATTTCATGAGTTCATTAACTTTATACCAGACATTTAAGAGGGATCACACTACAGGATCTGATGGCTTTCACCCCGATGTTGGGTCCATTGCTCTTTTTCCACCCACAATAAATTAACAAGCGAATCCTGCTCCTTTCCCTGCTACAGTTTGATCATACTCAGGTTTTTCTGATTCTTAGCTGTTATCCCAAATAAGATTATTTGGACGTTTCTTCAAAATATAAACTGTTCTTTTGAAAGGGGTACCAGAAAATACCATTTTTTCTGACTTGGTACATAATCAACTGAATGAATGCTAACTGTCTGAGTTGTATGTATTTGAAGTAATGAAAAGAAACTGTGCTTTAATCACTATTGAGAAGTTGAACTTTTTATTCTTACCCTTGGTGTTACATATTGAATATTGTCCTCTCCAAATTCATATATTGAAATCCTAACCTCCAATGTGATAATATTAGGAGGTGGGGGCCATTGGGAGGTAATTAGGTCATGAAGGTGAAGACCCCATGAATGAGATTAGTGCCCTTATAAAAGAGTCTCCAGAGAGCTCTCCTGCTGTCTTTCTACCATGTGCGGATGCAATGAGAAGTCAGCAGTCTACAGCGTGGAAGAGGGCCCTCACCAGAACCTGACCATGCTGCACCCTGATCTCAGACTTTTAGATCCAGACCTGTGTGAAATAAATTTGTTTTACTCATAAGCCATCCAGTCTATGGTTTATTACAGTAACCCAAACAAAGACACTAAGGATCTCTTTATACGCTTTGAAAATTACTGAAGACCCTAAAGGGTTTTTATGTGGGCTATATATTGTGATGTTCACTATATTAGAAGTTAAAACTGAAGAATTTTAAAAACCAGAATATACCAGCTCACATTTCGTTAGCCATCAGAGTGATGGCCTCATTCTATGTCACACAACCTCTGAAAAATTCCACTGTACCCCTATGGGAGAATACAAGTGAAAAAGACAAGTGATATCTTAATTTATTTATTTATTTATTTTTGAGACGGAGTCTTGCTCTGTCGCCCAGGCTGGAGTGCAGTGGCATAATCTCGGCTCACTGCAACCTCTGCCTCCCGGGTTCAAGTGATTCTCCTATTTTAGCCTCCCGAGTAACTGGGATTACAGGCATGCGCTACCACGTCCAGCTAATTTTTGTATTTTTAGTAGAGACAGGGTTTCACCATGTTGGCCAGGCTGGTCTCAAACTGACCTCAGGTAATCCGCCTGCCTCAGCCTTCCAGAGTGCTAGGATTACAGGCGCGAGCCTCCGCCTCCGACTGTCGACATCTTAATATTATTACGAAAATAGGTTTAACCTTACAGACTTTCTGAAAAGGTTTTTTAGTGGTCCTCAGACCACACTTTGAGAGCTGCTGCTCTAATCTATAAGGCTACCTCTGATGATTCTGGATTAGTAATATTTTTCTACTTGTAAATATGGTAATGTGTTCTCTGTGCTTCCAGAGTTTAAGATCTATGGTGCCAAAATACAAGCTTCTGAAGTTCTATGAGCTGAAGTACAAGCTTCTTGGCCTTTCAAGTGAAATGTTGGTGCTATGTGTGGGAAAATTTGGCCGGCCATGTCAAAATGGAAAAGGAATATAAGTATGAAAAAATGTATATGATAAACATGACCATTTTACTACTAGTGCTTCCTTTATTAGAAATGTCTTCTGCAACTTAAAAATAGCAATAAAAGTCAATAGATACAAAAATATTGACCATAGCAAACATTTTAAAGGGTTTGGTTCGGGGAGGTGGAAAACAGGGAGCTTGCTTTCCCTACCATCATTTCTTCAACATCCAGCTATCATTCAATCATGTGTATGTACTATCTGAATTAGAGTAAACATAAACTTTTCTATCAAAGAGGACCCAAAATACTATGGCTTAAAGAATACTGAAATTTGCTTCTTTCTTACAAAGACTGTACCAGGAACCCAGGTTTTTTTTTCTTATTGCTGTGCACTTTCTAACTTATTATCATCCACTATGGCATTATTCTCAGCTGCATGGTTGAAGCTGGGTCAAGGAACTCCATGATCTACCTCATGTGAAGGAAAAAGGAGCTTGTAGGATCATATATCTAATGTCTTGAGGCCCAGGCTAAAAATTACACATTTCTGTTCATATTCCAGTCTGAGAATGTCACGTGGCCACACCTACCTTCAAATGAGGATGAGAAATGTCATCTCTAACTGTGTCGTTACGGACCTTGCTACAACTCTTCCTTAAGAACAGGGACAGGGCGGAGTTTGACGGACAATTCACAGTATCCACTTCATAGGTATTTGAGTCATTGATTTTTGCCATTGGTAAAGCATTCTACTTCTCAGGCTTTAAAATGCGAGCTTCAGAGAAAATGTATTATTTGTATCAGTTATTAAAAAAAAAAAAAAAAAGACAGCAAATTCTTAGAAAACTCCCTCCTAGCTTGAACCTTCTTAGAACCCAGCCACCGTTCTGTAAGAAGTCAAAGCTTCATGGAAAAGCCATATATATAGGTGTTGCGGTCGATAGTCCCAGCTGAGCCTAGCCTTCAAATCATCCCAGCCCAGTCACCAGACAGGAGAGTAAAGACCTATTTTCTTCTTGGTAAGAGATCTTCCATTATCAGCTCTTCCAGCCCCCATCAGTTCAAGTTGCTTCCAGCTGTTAGAAGCATCCTATTTGAGGTCCTAGACATCATGGAAAGAGACAATCCCCACTATGCCCTTTACAAACTCCCAAATCATAGAATTTGTAAGCATAATAAAACAGCCGGTTGGTTGGTTTGGTTGGGGGTTGGGGAGACAGAATAATAGATATACATGGCAATAAATACATGGCAATATTTAACTAGAACATACATTCCAAGTCAGATATTTAAATAGGCCCTCTTCTCAAATTTCCCATGATAGAATTTTTTGAAATATTTAAGTTATCTAAAGTGAGTGATTAAAAACAGGTTAGCTTGGCCAGGAGGAGTGACTTACACCTGTAACACCAGCACTTTAGGAGGGCGAAGCAAGCAGATCACCTTAAGTCAGGAGTTTGAGACCAGCCTGGCCAACATGGTGAAACCCTGTCTCTACTAAAAATACAAAAAAAAAAAAAAAAAAAAAAAAATAGCCGGTATGGTGGCACACACCTGTAGTCCCAGCTACTCAGGAGTCTGAGCCAGGAGAATCACTTGAACCTGGGAGGCAGAGGTTGCAGGGAGCCTAGATCACACCACTGCACTCCAGCCTGGAAGAGAGACTGAGAATCCATCTCAAAAACAAAACAAAACAAAACGAAAAACCAGTTTAGCTTTTATAATTCATTCACTCATTTCACAAAATTTATGGAGTATCTAAAATTTACTGGGATTATACCTGAATACACACATTAGGACCCAGTTACATTCAGTCCTGTGTTTCCCATGTAGATTTTGAGCTTCTTGAGTGAAAACAATATTACTTCTGTAATCTTCACAGCATCCAGTAAAATATAAAGTTTAATATGAGTAGAAAGTGCTTGATAAGAACTTGTTTGATGATTTTTAAAATTTATAATAGAAGTGTATATACATATCCATTCTTTGTGTGCATACATACTACTTATTCAGGTGTGGCTGAAAAATGTGTATTTTCTAATCAAAAGTAACAACTGCTAGTTGTAAGTACTTATAAAATATAAAAACGTTTTTAAAATATGTCACTTTATAAAGATTCTTATGAAGGGTTTCCTATCAAAGATGCTATTTTGGCAGTATACAGTCATTTGCATATTTATTTTTATATGCTGGTAATTCACATGATCTGTGTATTGCTTTTACAGTTTAACTGTAAGCCTCTTGCCAAAAGAAATTTTATTTTTAAAGTATTTTGTCACTACACACACATATGCAAGCAGTCTGAATTGTATAAAATATAAGATCCACATTTCAATTGCTTTACTTTGTTGCCTATCACAACTAGAGCTTCCTAAAATTCTCGTTTATTAGAGCAAAATGTGGCTGATTCAAATATCATGCTTCAGCTGCCTTCATCATTTGAATGAAATAAGCTCCCAGCAAGATGTATTCAAGAAACTATGGTTCAAACTGTGTTATCCTGCTATACAGCAATCTGCTAAACATTTCTGAAGCAATTTAACTGTGACTTAGTTGCAAACAATGTGAACACTTAATCTATAACTTGAAAATTCAAGACTTTTCTCATGAGTTCACTTGTTTCAGAGAAAGATACTTCCTATTTTTTTTTTTTTTGAGATGAGCTAAGAATGGAAAGCTAAGAACTATTAAAACAATGAAAATGATCAAGCTTATAAGTTGAGTTTGTATTAAATCTGAAGTATTGTAGATATAATGATATTATATCACCTATTGTAGGTATAAACATATTGTAAGGGCTTTTACCCAAAAGAAAAGGACTTGCTTTTAAATTTATTCTGGGTTACATTTGTCTTACCATAAATTTTTCATTAATATATCCTACCTATATTATTAACATCATTTTTTCACTGTTTTCTCATGCTGATAAACTCTGTATTTGGAGTAATTATTTGCCTAAAAAATGCATGCCATCTTCACGAGGCCAACATTCCAAATATATTTTTTGCACTGAGTTAATAAAATATGTTACATTAATGAACTATACAATAATCTTTAATACTGATCAAACCATGTTTAAATTTGAAATTCACTATATTTATCAATATGTGAATAAAGATAAAGGAAAATGGACACAGGTTTATCAAAATAAGAGAAAGTAAATCCTCATTCTTATTTCACGTCAGTTATTTTTAAAGATGTTATTTAGGCTATGACTAATATGTCAAAACTCACCATGTAGACATCGTGTGGGTATAACTGTACAATGTTAAAATTCACTTACGTTTGTTTAAAATAACTGTTGATTAGCCAGATTTTCTTATATTTCAACCTCTTGGCTTGGCATTGTGTGAGTAGTGTAGTAATAGAATGATAATAAAGCAAATACTTTTTTGTAGCCTAACTCAATTTTTCACTTTTGAACTATCTTTCTAAAACCATTAACCTTCAAATGCATTTTTCTCTTCCAACTGATTCGTGATGTAGGCTAACATTTTAGTTATGGCAGCTCTGAATTAATCATTTTTCATTAGTACCTGTTTTACTTACCCTAGGTACCATGCTGAAAGTTGATCTCAATTTGGGCCTTTTCCTATCACTTAAATGCTGAAAGAATTTAAATTTCTTAGTTATAATGATAAACTCAACTCATTTGTTTTTATTTGAAAGGTAAATGAAGCCAGAAGCTATAAAGACTTTTATGAAAATAAAAAGCGTACTCAAAGTGTTAGATTTGATTTGTTTGGTATGCAGTGTTTACAGGACATCCTTTGCCTAAGGCAGTATTAATGGATGAAATTTAGGACATTCCTGGCAGAGATTTGAGGTGTTATGGTGAAGATTTTCTATATATTCATTCCCTCTACACTTGCTGTGATATTGACGTGGTCTTTTGGATAGATATAGCTTGTACACAAATCATAGTTACATCTATAATTGGCAAAGTATGTTTTTCAGCATACCATCATTTTTTTCTCCTGCTCTCCTCTACTTACCTCCTTCTCTAGTCCATGTGGTTAGAAATTACTTTCAACAGATTGGTGAAGATGTGTAGAATAAGGGTAATATTCCACAAGCTACAGCATCCACTCTTTTTATGGTTTGAATTTTTTTCTCTATCTCTATATACTTCTGAAATCTGTAATTCTTGTGTGTTTTGAACCTAACTCATCCCCCCAAAACAATTCTAACTTTAATATCCTCCCTCAATAATCCATATCTTCCTTATCAGTTACAGTCTTAAAATTCTCCCTTTTGTCAAATCTATATACAGTTGTTCATGAGTGATTGTTTTCAGGACCACCCCCTCGTATCCAAATCCACAGATGCTCAAATCCCTTGTGTAAAATGGCATAGTATTTGGATATACCCTACCCTGTATATTTTAAATTATCTCTAGATTACTTAGAATACCTAATAAAATGTAAATGCTGTGTAAATTAATTGTTATATTGTACTGTTCAGGGAATAATGACAAGTAAAAATGTCTGTACCTGTTCAGTACATATGCAACCATCCATTTTTTAAATGTTTTCAATCTGATGTTGGTCGAATTCAAAGATAGGAAATTCATGGATACAGAGAGCTCTCTACTATCAACTTTGAAAATAGAATAGCTGAGTTTTACGTTTAGCAATTGAAAATAGGAGAAATAATTTGCAGATATAAGTATGTATTAGATTAACTGGATGACTTCAAATCTCTGTCCAGGAATTGTCAATTTGTTTACATGTAATCCAAATCCAATTTTCTTAAATATCAAGGGATTGCATTAGAGTCCCATTTGTTTCTTAATTTGAATTGTCTTGTGAATCAGCCAAGGTACAGAAAATAAAATATGATAAGCCAAAGTACAGAAACGTTTTTATTTTCATTTCAGGCAGGCAGTCAAGAGTATTAAGATTTGAGCTGTAACTTTAGGTCAAATTGCCCCTACAATTCTACTGTTGTTATTTTAACCTAATACACTACTTAGTATATCTCCGTTTCGCTGTATTGGCATCTGTTTAATGAGACTACAAACAGTAAAACAGTAAAGAACAAAGAGATAAGGAGAATGAAATAACAGTAGAATTTAGAAGTTAAATAAAACACATTCAATTTTACCTCTTTCCAGAGGAGCCTATACCAGCTCTAAGTTCAACTGCCTGAGACCGAAGTGATGATTCTGTCTACCTATTTGCCTTGGTTAGTATACTTATTGGCCCAACCATTACATATGACAAAAGATAACTTGTATGTGTTGCGTGTGTGTGTGTGTGTTTACATGGGTCAAATACATTTCTCATGTCAATAATAATAATAATATAGTAAACATTTATGCCAAATACTGTTCTAAATGCTTTACAGTTTATCCTCCCAATGACCCTACGAAGTAAGTACTATTAGTACTTATCTTTTATAGGTGAGGAAACCGAGACTTAGCAGGGTTAAGTGAACTGCCCATAGCTTCACAGATGCAGGAGGCAAAACCAGAACTCAAAATTGCCTGGCTCTACTAGAGTCTATGTTCTCTCAATGCAAACACTCGCTTATGCAACTATGAACTCTGAAATCCATTGATTAATAGGTTGAGGCAGAACAAAATTAACAAAATAGAATTATATTTTACTTGATTCCCTAGTCTATTCAAATCTGTGTAATAGATAGAATATCTATTTTGTATATAAAATTTGTATATCAAAATTTTTTTTCTAAAAACTTTTGCAAAGTAAATATAGAATTTTATGTTAAAACTACTCAAAGGAGTTAGGAGATCATTATGACCCTTTTATCCCTACCTTTTCACTTCAAATCATGTGCTTAGGCAGGAACACCACATGTATGTTCTGCTGGCATGTAAAGGACATATAAAAGGCATATTCTCATATCCCCAGTGTACTACTTTTGAAATACACCCTTTATTACTGTGGTGTTTTCCTAATTACTCATTTCTAATTACATTCACAAGTCATTATTAATAATGACATCTTATTCCTTATTCAGTTAAACATTTGCATAATGTTCTTTATACAATTAAGCATTTGCATCGGTATTTTGGGTTACACAGTGTTCCTAGATCATTTAACACTGTATGTGAAAAAACATATCTCATTTGTCTAACTTAAAACTAAAAAACAGAAAATGCAGAAATGATCTTGAAATTCTTCTTTAAAAAACATACTGTGAATAGATTTAAGGGAAAAAAATGTTATTTGAAGACTGCATATTCTTTCAGTATTGGCTGGCACTCTGAAATTTTAATGTACCTCGCAATAGATTTAGTTTATAACACTATGACAGAGTTAGGAGCAACTTTCTGTTATTCAAATATTCTCACTTGGTGTATTTAAATTTCTTAATTGAGCTAATCTAATTCCAAAATTCAAATTCAAACCAAGTATCCCTGGGTGCATTGTGTCTCAATTGTAGGCAATAAATGATCACCAGTTCAAGGCAATAATTGTATATCTTCCATCTACATATTTAAGATTAATAAGTAAAAACAAAGGAAAAGACAGCCTCACACATCTTTGAATCTCAGCACCTCCCTTGGTGATCTCATCTACTCTTCCAGCTTCCTCTAACTCCCAAATTTAGAATTCTATCCTTGACTTGTCTTGTTATCTTCAACCTCACATTGAATAGTCTGAATATTTCCACTTACACATTTCACTTTCACCTCAAACTCAAATTATTTAGAGCCGAACACATCACCTTTAAGCAAGTCTCCCCTTTCAAGTTTCCTTATTTCTATGAAAAGTATCTTCATTCTTCTAGTTATCCAGACCTAAAATAATTAAGTGATTTTCGACTCCTATCGCTCTACTCTTTTTTTTTACCTCACCCACTGTTGATTGCAAGTCTTTTCTGTTTATTACTTTATTAATGTTTCTTACATCCATCCCTTGTTTTTTCTACTGCCACGTCCCCAGTTAAGGCCCTCAATATATTTCAAAGGCTCACAATGTACTAAGTATTCTCCCACATCACTTAGGATGTTTGGATGAGCTATTGCTGCAAAATCAATTGTACTATTTTCTGCTGCTGGTACCTGCTTACTGTTGACAACATCAAATTCTTCAGTAAGTTCTCTACAGCATTTTTTTTCTTTTTCATGGCTGGTTTTCTTGTTTTCCAGTCATTTGGAGCTAGCACCTACACTAGTCGAGATTCCTTGTTTTTCTATTTACCACATCTCATAGCAGAGACTACTTCTCTGGCAATACAACTGATTTGTAATTCACTCTTAGCCTTAGATTGCCTTTGTTTTGAAGCTCACTCCTGAATTACCAGAGGAATGAGCCATGATCTCAGAGACAGATCGTTCTCTCTTCCCACCCACGATTCCTAATCCCCTAAATGTAACCTCAGTCTTCTCTTTCTAATCATAAGGTGGAACATCAGACACTGAACCTACTGGCTCCTTGATCTTGAACTTCCCAGCCTCCAGAACTATGAGAAATTAATTTATTCTGTTTGGGAGCACCCAGTTTATGATATTATAGCAACCTGAGTAGACTGAGACAAGCTTTATCTCAGAAACGAAGTTGCTACATGGGATGGAATTCAGTGCTAAGGATGGCAGAGTGGAAAGACAGGAGAAACTTAGATCTCTGATAATTGTGGACCGTACCAAACCAGGACTACTACCTCCACACAAAATTGGTAAGTCCAGGGAAGCGGTAGCTTCAGCATTTCAGACCCAAGGATCAGCAGGGCTCTTTCTGTCTTTCAGGTCTTACTTGCCTCTGCTTCTCCTAGCATACTAGCTTCTATCTCTCTTGAATAGAATCTCTCCACGTGGTTGGAAAAGTGCCACCAGCAACTTTCCTTTTGGCACTTCACATGATAGTGACAACATCTGCATGCTTCAGGCTCTATACTTGGAGCTTGTGATCCTAAAGCAATACCAGGATACTCCTCCCTTATACCTCTAGCTGAAAGTTCTGGGTCATTGGATGGGCCTGGGACAGGTACATGCCCATCCCTGAACTAGTATGATTGGCCTTTCAGACATTGGCCTTTCAATTGAGTAGATGAATTATTTCCTGAAGGAACTAGGAGGAGGCAGACAAAAACTATACTTTCCATAATCTATTGCATCTCCTGTATTGCAATTATCTTTCGAGTTCTCCATCTCCTCTACTGCTTTGTAGGGCCTTGAGGGCAAAGACTGCACCTTATTAATTTTGTACCCACCCAGTCAAGACTAGGACCTGGCATATAGTAGACCTTCAGCAAATAGTTGCTGAAGAAAAAAATGAACAAAAAAATGCAGGCAAAGAATTTCAGTAGGAGTGGGTTAGGAACCCATGACAAAACTATAAGCAATAGGTAAAAATACCAGCAATAAGTAACGGCATTATGACCACTAAGGTAGCCTCAGGTCTGGGAATTTTATACAGTTCCGGCAGAGACAGGAACTTACTATAATGTAACCAGTTTAGACTGAATAAATGTGTAATTGGCATATAAACTTGTATGCCTAGGCAAGCAAGCATTTTTTTTTGCAAGAAGTTCCTGAAAGTCCCTTATAATTTGTTGTTTAATCTTGTTAAAAATTTTAAAATGTCATATTTGCAAATATGGGTCAGGATGATAGAAATGTAAACCACTATCAGAGAAATCAGTTTGACTGACACAAATGATAAGGGATAATTTTAGATTCAGAATGGCTGGGGAACTACAAGATCATTTCATAGTAGACAAGTCTCGGTTTTATTAATGCCTTCCCAAAGCATTAGTTCAGGTAGGACCACATAATTTAATAAGAGAATTGTGCCAAGATAAGAAAAGATATAAAAATAAAAACGAACATGAGTGAGGTTCAAAATTGGCTTCTTTGGGAAATTGAGATGAGATAGCATGGGAGGGAGACTTGTGGTAAGAATTGCTGTATTCAGGGTTATGTGTGTATAGAAGGATGAGAAACATTCCACAGAGAATTAGCCACAGGATCACTTTTGAGGAAAGAAGCCAGACAGGGGCCATCAGTGTTAATCTTAGGAAGAAATCATTTGTTGAGGAGGTGAGCAGAATAAAATATAGCCTTGTGAAAAGGATAGAGGTAAAATGAGTGAAAGATTTGCTTTAAAGATGCGATTTTATGCTCAGATTTTGAGTAATATCTCTATTCTATAATATATAGACTATCCTGGCATTTGTTAAATGAGTATACCTTCTTACTCAGTTCTTAAGTATTTGGTTTATTTTAAGAATTAAAAAAATTAAGATGCACTGAGCTTATTTTTATACTAGATGTTATCCAGATCCTATATGATGTTACAGAGGGCAAAAATATCATATTGTATTCATTGTATATTCATCTCTGTATTTCCAAAACCTAATAAAGTCTACAGCCCCACAGTAGACACTCAATAGATGCTTACTGAGTGAAAGATTCCTTAACTTCTGTAGTACTTTACAAATTCCAAAGTAGTTTCATACACATGATTTTGTATAATACTATAATAGCCCTTTGAGGTATTTATAATACATTTTTCAGATGAGAAAATAGATTTAAAAGAGGAAAATGACTTTCCAAGTCACAAAGATTTTGAATCCAAATCTTCTTCCTTCTGTTTTAGTTTAGTCTAGTCACAATGCTTCCCTTCTATGAGTAAAGTATATTTTAAATCACTACACACCCAGAGACATACAGAGATATAGCGGCTATCTATAGGTTTGTCTGCTCAGCACCACACCTCCTTTAGGGGACCAAATGCTGCCATTCATACTATTCTATGCTTCTGGTCACTGGAGTATGAAAATGACCCATTTCAAGCCCATAATAGTACTCCAAACTATTCCAATTTTAGTCCTGGAGAATTTTTCAATTTAGAGGTAAAAAGGGTTATTGTCCTTTCAAATTTCGGAGTAGAAGAATGGAAAGTGAGTGTGGTCTGTTTATGGCCATGGAGGAAGAGTATTGTAGTTGGAGAAAAATAAGGCAAGCCAATTGTGATGTATAAAGATATAGAGCCCCAGACTGATCACGCCAAATAGGTCAGCTTCATCCTACGTATATTGAACCATATGAAATTACCATTTTTTTGTAGGTCAAAAATGGCTAAATATCATTTTCATTTGGCTCAATCTAACATGCAATATTATCCAGAATCTTAATAATAGAGATTAATCACTTAATAATAGTGATTTCCAGCTCAAGACTCTCTTGAGATAAATGGGAAAATGAAGGCCTAGAAATGTCAAAAGAGTAGCTAAAGGTTAGTACTAATGCAGGTTTTCTGAATTTCAGTCTAGGACCCTGTCCATTAAGCATAATGAGTCTAAAATTTTAAACTAGTCACTTTCAAATTTCATAAACCAGTTGCTCTTCACCACTTGTTTTATTTTAAATTTATATTATTTTCTTCTTTGTTAAGCCTAGGGAAAGGGAAATATGCTGTATGACTCAAGGCAGACAGATTTACTTGTTATAAGCTTTTCCAGGAGAAATAATTGATAGATTTTGACTAGTATCATGAACTTTAAAACCAAAAGAAATAACCTGACACGAGTTAAACGCATGGTCATTTTAAAGGCAAAATTCACATATGCAAAATTCTGACTACTATATTTTTTCTTTTTAATTAGATCTTCCAAGGAATGTCACAAACTTCTGTGTTTATAAGAAATAACTGGAGTTGCTTTTTCAACATGCAGGTTCCTGAGCCCCACTCAGACCACTAACTTAGTCTTTGGGGATGGGCATAAGCACCTTCTTTTTTTTTACCCCATGTAGAGATGGAGATCTTACTATACTGCCCAGGCTGGTCTTGAACTTCTGACCTCAAGAGATCCTCATGCCTTAGCCTCCTGAAGTACTGGGATTACAGGCATGAGCCACCTCATTCTGCCCTTTAACAAGTTCACGAGGGGTTCTTATACACTCAAGTTTAAGCAGTAGCGTCTTAAGTATTGCCATTCTCAGGGATTCTGTCACTTAATATGCTTCTTTACACTGGAAGGTGAGAATGTTGAGAACACATCCCTTTAAAATGACTACATTGCCACACTTATCAATAGACTATGATGTAGGACTCAGGTGTATTGAGTGGGAAGTGATTCCACACGTGGGGCAACTCAGCAGCTCCTATTAATTAGCTTATCACCTACACATGGATGTCTATATTGCTCAACTCTTTGTCCTAACAACATAATGTTTCTGAAGAACAATTGAGTGTTTGTGGCTCAGACTTTATGCATGTATCTTCAACTAAACTCATTATTATTGTTTTCCCGAAATCTGCTTTTACTTCTACATTATCTACTTAAGTTAATTGTACTATGAATCACCTGTCTAATCAAGCCAGAAAACTCAGAGTGGTCCTCATGTCTATGTTTCTCATCTAATTAGACACGTAGTCGTGTTGTTGAACCTACTTTTCAAACATCTCTTGCTTGGATTGTTTTTTTTCTCATAAGCCTTATTGCCATTGCCATAAGGCCTTCCCTTAGAGGTTTATCATCTCTTCTGGGCTTTTAAAATGCCTCCTAGAAGGCTTCCCTGTCTCTAGTCTCAAGCTTTCTGTAGTCCATCATTCACATTACTATTGAAAATAAATTCAAAATGCAAATCAGATTTTGCCACTCCTAAGATAGTTCCTCATTACCTGTCAGATAAGGTCCAATTCATTTGCATGGCACACAAGGCCATTTGTGATCTGATTTCACTTTTCAGTACTGACCCTGGGCAGTTCAAGGGGCAACATCTCAATGCTGAATATACCATTAAAAAAAAAAATCTACTTTTCACTGCAGTTGTCTTTCCTGACGCATTCTTAATATTTTCTTTAAGAGATTACACTAACCTTAATGCAAGTCTTTTGATCCAAAATCTCTTTAAGTTAATTTATCCCTCTATACCAGCATCCATCTGAAAATCCTAAAGGTTTATTTCTCAGCTGCTGAAAGTCTCTTCCTTGCTTATTCTTTGGGCTAGTTAAGAGATACGTTTGTATTTGATCCTACAAGATCCTACTTTATTTCCAAGTTGCTTCTTATCTATCCTTTATAAAGCACAGCAGGCACCAGAGACTAGGCCTGGAAGGTTGCTGGGTGTAAACATCCTGTGTCCCTCTTCCACTAAGCACTGTAAAAAAAGGTTCTGATTTTTCCCAGCCACTATAAAGTCCTTTTGTTTGCATTCAGAAGTAAGGTGACTGATTTACTTTCTTAGCTGTGAATAGCTTAGCCACTAGGATCTTTAAAAACAGCCTGAGATCACTTAAGTTGTCCGCATTCTTAGAATCCAGTAGCACATTAAAAAATTAATAACACTGCCACAACCTCATGTGTCAGTTTGTTTTAATGATTAATAAACCTGCTGTCTGAAAACACTGACCTTGAAGGCATGACTTCATGTTGTGGGTTAAGGCTGTTTCATCTTGTTTTGTTGTCAGTGTACATGGACAATGTTGGGCATTAAAGGACATTTCCTTTATCCTTTTTGTAAGTCCATCTTCTAATCTTTTTTTTTTTTTTTTAAACACTTACACTCATTTTACAGTGTTCGTATCACTTAGGTTCTAAGATCTCTATATTTCTTTTCAAGTGGTGGTTGTCAGAGTTAGAGGGTGTCGTGTTAGAGGTTTCACTGTCACTGAAAACACAAGGAAGCTTGCTTGATGGTCCTTATACTCCAGATTTCAATTTTATCAGTCAGAAAAAAGTGCAGTGCCTTGTGCTCACTCATGGTCAGCTAATTATTCTTTTCTTTTTGATAATCTGTTTTGTTGTTGTTTTCTGTCATACCTGCCACCACTCAATACTATATCCTTTGTTTTGGACATTTCTCTAATTGTCTAAAGTCATTGTGAATCCCAACCATTACAGTTAATGGTTACCCGTGACCGGAGATGTTTGGGGGCATCACTTCTATCTTCTCATACAGGTCTCACAGGAATATTAAACCCTAGGCCCATGAAAATTTACTTATATACCAACAAATACCTGTAAGAAAATTCAAGGAAGAGAATTTCACCCACATAGCAACAAACCACGTAAAATACCTAGAAACAATCTTAAGAGGAAATGTGAGATTCATTACAAAGGAAAAAAAATACAAAACCACTGAGATAAAAAGAAAGTTTTAAAAATAGATTTTGCAGCTGAGAAAGACCTAGCATTCACCCAGAAGGCCTTAAAGTGAGTGAGTTAAGGAAATGAATGCCAGAGTCTGAAGAGTCTGTGTTGCTGCTGGAGGACCTGCTGCTGGGAAGCCACAGCCACTTTGTGACTTTGGCTTTCTAAATAGACCAAAATCAAGAAAGCTTGGTGAGTATTACACCACCTGCAACCCAAGTTACAATAGGAACACTGATTGCAATTAGCATTTGGTCAAGCTACAGTGTTTTTCCTAGGTAATATTTTCTAATTTCATTTTATGAGAAAATATGGCCATTTTTGTTTAGTATTTAAAAATCATTGCAAACTCTCATTGACAGATTTTAAATGTGATTATTTATTGAAGGTCAATAAACACTTGGCATTAAAAGGTCAAACTTTACATAACAAATTGGACATTTTAGCTTCAATATGGTTCGTTTTTAAAAAACCTTTACATGACTTTTTTTGGGAGAGAGTAAAACTGAAACTTTCTGGCATACTGAACACCCAAGAAATAATTCTTAAGGTAGTTTCATTTTCTACAAGTTTCAAAAAAATTTTTAAAATAACCTAAATGAAATTTTTCCTTGAGGTGATTTTATCTCCCTGTCTCTGAACAGAATATTCCAAGCACACATTAAATTTCTTTGGATATCACAGGTTAAGAAGAACAGGGGAAGTAAGGAGCTTTCTATGCAAATTCTGTCCAGCCATTCAACAGCTGTGCACTTTGGGCAAGTCAATAAATCTCTCTGATCCTTGTATTACACACAAAGTGAGTTGTTTACTTTGCCAGGTTCTCATGAGGGAGAAAATCAGAGCATAGATTATACACAACTACATATAGCAGTATTGTTTGAAGTTAAGTTTGGGATTCAAAAGAAAAGATAACTAACTTTTTTTTGAGTGATACTTTTATGCCAGGCACTTCACACGTTTTATCTTCTTTAATATTCATAACAGCTTTATAAGGTAGGTATTTTTCTTATTTTGTCAATCATTGAAATATGAAAGCTTAGAAAAGCTGAGTAACCTGCTATTTGCAAACAATGATCAGAGAATTAGAACTAAGTGGGTCAGGCATTTTATTCATTTTTGAGGGGTAAATCAAGGTCCAGAAGGATTATTTGAATTTGCCATGGTCACATACTCATCAAAACTGAGATTTAAATATAATATTTTCACTTGTCAGGTTATTGGAGGATTTTTTTTTTCAGTTTTTGCATCACTAGAAGAAAGTATATAACTGCACATTTCTTGATATGATAGAGTTAGTATTAATTTCAGAAGTGTGATAGTGATATTATGGTTAATATTTTCTAGAGTCCTTTCTTTTAGAGATACAGTCTAGAATACTTATGATTGAGCAGTAAATGATGTCTAGAGTTTGTTTTAAAATTGCTTGGAAGTGAAGGGGATTGTGTATGGTTTGAGGGTACAGATGAAACAAGACTAGCATGAGTTAATAAATTTTGAAACTGGGTGATGAAATCTAAATCTACTTGATTTCAAAGCCTAAACATTGTTGTCAGGTGTAGCCCCTAAATACCATCAATTACAGCACTGTGTATCTAGGTCTTTTCTAAATGAAGTAAAGTAGTGATTTTTGAAAACCACCAATGATGATGCACTCTTCCCATCTTCTGCATTTGAGTGTATGCTTTCCCTCTGGGTAGCACTCTGTAGCATCTCAGGCCACTCTCACTACTGACTGACATCGTCTAAATTCATGCAGTTCCTCTTTTACTTTGCAGATGAAGAGATTTATTCACCCAGCTAAAGCCTCTGAATTGCTGCTGATACTGTGTGGCTTACTTTGTTGAGACATGAAGTGATTCCCAAAGTCTCCAAATGGCTATCTGTGGAAGTCTTCCGGTAGGCAGCTAGCTTCTGTTGCCCACAGAGAAATATTCACTACTGAGCTTTCTACTGGTTCTGAAATCTGCATTGGAAATTGTCTGCTCACAGAGAAGTGGGTTTATCATGAAGTTATCAAAGCTTAAGTTTTTAGGCTCACCACCTGTCTGGGCTGCTTCTAAGATCCCAGCAATACGATTAGAGTGTTGTGAATTCAAAGAATTCTTTAGTCCTTGCCAAGAAAACTTGAATTTTCCTGAAATCTTACAATATTTTCCAAATGTGATAACAGTCCTAAATTATGGAAAAAAGCATTGCAGATTATGTTTTAAAATTAATTAGTAAAATATTATGTTATTTTTCTGGATGCTTGTGGTAAATATCAGTTTTTCAAGACTTGTAATTTGTTGTGATTTCTTTTCTCCTTGTCTATGAGTTTTCATTTTTGAACCTAATTGCTTGTATTCATCGTTTTGAGTTTTCTTAAAAAATGTATTCCTAAATTATATTGGCTTTAGGGATCATAAAACCTGGACCCATGCATGTACCCACCCCATTATCTTGGCATCATTTGTATACTGAACTATTTGTCTTTCTCTAGAGAGTTTATACAGCTCCCCAAAGGCTCTCTAGTTCTTTCTGTCTTAGGAGAAAGGGGGACTCACCCTGAAAAGTTGGCTTAGGGTGTTGATCCCGGTGAATCCAGACAGTAGTATACCAATGTTCTCATGCTTCCGCTTGTCTCGTAGGAGTGGGGCTGTGTTTTCACAGCTTTTACCTTTCCTCTTCTGAGACATATGATCGGGTCTAAGCCACATTACTGTCTGTGAGGACTGACTCCTTAGTATGCTATGCATACCCACAAATCCAGTAACTCTAGTTCACCTGGTCCGGTGGCGCACATGCCCTGCCATTTTAACAAGATAATAGTATCTTCTCTATAAGCCTTCCCCTTAGTGGAGGCTATCTGCGTGTACTCTTTAGACTCCAGCCTCTTGTTAGGAGAAAGCAGGGCTATTATCTCAGGGTCCCTAGTTTGGGGAGGAGAGGCACATAAATGACTCTCAGAGAACTTAGGAATCCATGATGTTTGCTACCAGGATGCAGTTGGATTCACACATAGACTCTCATAGTATCTGAGCTGCATTGTAATCATTGCTAGACTGTCCTACATGCCGAGTAAGCTTTGGGTAATAACTATATTTTCTGAGTTGAAAACAGAAAAACAGCGGGAAATTTTTGAGTGTCTTTGTAGGGGTTATAGAAATATGTAAAATATGAATTGTCCTAGAAAATCTGGAAAAACATGTATTTAAAGAGCAGTTTACTGGTGTTTAAAATGACCCTAGGTTGCTGTGCACTTTGAATTCCTTTAGCTGTTCTTCATGTTTCATCTCTTCCTTGCTGTCAGGTTAGTAATGATCATTTCTTGCTGCTGTCTATGAGTCTGCCAGTTAAGTCTTTCTTCATAGTATAGGTAGTGGTTTTCATAGTGAGTCTGGAGCCAGGCTGTTTGGGTGGAAATCTCAGATCTGCCATAAAGACACATGCACACGTATGTTTATTGCGGCACTATTCACAATAGCAAAGACTTGGAATCAACCCAAATGTCCATCAGTGACAGACTGGATTAAGAAAATGTGGCACATATACACCATGGAATACTATGAAGCCATAAAAAAGGATGAGTTTGTGTCCTTTGTAGGGACATGGATGCAGCTGGAAACCATCATTCTTAGCAAACTCTCACAAGAACAGAAAACCAAACACCGCGTGTTCTCACTCATAGATGGGAACTGAACAATGAGATCACTTGGACTTGGGAAGGGGAACATCACACACCGGGGCCTATCATGGGGAGGGGGGAGGGGGGAGGGATTGCATTGGGAATTATACCTGATGTAAATGACGAGTTGATGGGTGCTGACGAGTTGATGGGTGCAGCACACCAACATGGCACAAGTATACATATGTAACAAACCTGCACGTTATGCACATGTACCCTAGAACTTAAAGTATAATAATAATAATAAATTAATTAAAAAAAAAAACCATGTAACTGTGGGGAAGTTACTTAACCTTTCTGCTCTTCAGTTTTCTCATGTATGAAGTGGCAGAAAATAATAGTACCTATGTCTTAAGGTTGCTATGAAGATTAAGGGAAATAAAATGCTTAAAACAATGCCCTGAAAATAATAGGTGCTCAATAAATGTCTGTTATTGTCATCCTCTTTCTCATTTGTTGTTTTGAATCTCCTAAGGACTTGGAAAACAGACAATCAACTCCTTTGAACTCTAAATAAGATACAAATTCAGCCAAGTGTTGTGGCATGTACTTGTAGTCACAGCTACTCAGGAGACTAAGGTAGAAGATCACTTGAGGCCAGGAGTTGGAGGCTGCAGTGAGCTAAGATTGTGCCACTGCACTCCTGCCTGGGTGACAGACAGACTCTCTGTCTTGAAAGAAAAAAGTAATAATTAATTTTTAAAAATAAATAAGATAAAATTGCATAGTCTTTGAGTGCATAACCAAAAAGCCTAATTAGTAAAGTGTTTGGGCATTAATGTGGCTGTCCCATTCAGGCAGGAAAAAGCTTTAATGAAGAACCTTCTTTTTTTTTTTTTTTTTTTAAATGCTGCTCACCTCACCAGTCCTTCTGATTAACAGAATCTTGACCCCAATTATCAGTCTAGACAAATTATTTTTTGTTTGTTTGTTTTTGTTTTGAAAGAGAGTCTCGCTCTGTTGCCCAGGCTGGAGAGCAGTGGCATGATCTCTGCTCAGTGCAAGCTCCGCCTCCTGGGTTCACGCCATTCTCCTTCCTCAGCCTCCTGAGCAGCTGGAACTACAGGTGTGCCCGCCACCTCGCCCAGCTAATTTTGTTTTTGTATTTTTAGTAGAGACGGGGTTTCACCGTTTTAGCCAGGATGGTCTCGATCTCCTGAACTCGTGGTCCACCCGCCTTGGCCTCCCAAAGTGCTGGGATTACAAGTGTGAGCCACCATGCCTGGCCTAGACAAATAATTTTGATGTTATACAAAGTAGTATTAATTTAAGTCTTTATAATAGTGACAAAAAGTGACAAAAAGATGAAAATGACTTGGCCTGAAATATGAGCATATAACTTGCAAGTAGCTATATTAAATACATTGATGCTCAGAATAAATTTTAAATAATGTTCTGTGTGGTTCTCATGTTGATTTCTAATGTTCTATAGATAGCAACTGGTGTCAACTTTAGTCAATAGAGGATAAAGGAAACATCTCTGTCATCGTTCAGTGTAGATTCTTTTCTTTCGTCATCCTGATTTTCACAAGCTTCAGCAGTTATTAATTCTAGCTATCCTTCCTCCTTGTTGGTCCCCAGCAGACCTATGCAAGGCTGCAAATTTCAGGGCATGATCAACCTTGAACTAATTCTGAGACAATATCTTTTGTCTCTGTGATGAAAGTGACTGAAGATTATGAGGCTCAGCACATAGAAGTCTCTCAATAAATACTTATTAAATGAATGAATGATTGCTTTGGTTTTCAGTGGAAAGAGAATAATACACATGATCTATAAAAACTCCCTGAATTGCACAGGAATCACTAAGCCTAAACTGTTGTGTTTCTTGTGTCACACTATTAAACATCATCCTGAGTCTTTCAGCCAGGACTTATATTGTTTGGTGCATGCATGAAATCATATGTGCACAAGGCTATATATTCACAAGCTGTGTGATACTTGTTCTGGTAGGTAAGAGGTCTTTTTGCTTGGTTTAACTGGATGGGTAACATTTTGAGATAGTAGATTGCAGACAGGAAAGCAGTGAATATCATTGTTAAACATGTTAAAATTCATTTAAGTTAAAATTTTTTATTTTGCTTTAATTCCTGAACTTTTATTTGCCTATGGTCAATCTTTTTTAGGTTCCTTTTGTCTCAGTAAACTTTGTTTACAAGCATTCAAGGCACTAATAGTGGCATTGTTTTTATTACATTTTCTGTATTAGAGATTATAATATGCTTCTGAACATCTGATAAAAGAAAAAGAAAAGGGAGCAGTTAAATAAGTGACCTAAAATCAGGACTAAATTCAAAACAAGCTTAAAGGTTTGCCGTGAACGAAAAAATTTAAAATTTAGTTGCTCCATCTAGTGGTGAACTGTTATATGACTTTAGTGAAAAGATTTTAGTTTTTCATGTTGAAGATTCTATTCAAATTTTGTTCTGGTAGGTAGAAAAAAAGTATTTAATGGACTTACTATCTTATTTTGCCACTTAAAATAACAAAATTTACCCAACATGAAAAGAAAACCACTACTTAATGAATCTAAATAAACGTAAAGACACATCTGTAACCAACTCAAATTTCATACAATTATTTCTTTCTCAATCAGTCTAGGAACGAGCATCAACATTTATATCTGTATCTATACTCAACCTAAAATTATATATCACCCTGAAAGTGTAGGCCTAGTCCGAGTTAATAGGAGCGAAATGTTAATAGGGAGATCAACCCCTCTGCAGTTAAGATCATGGGCTTTTTGATTCAGGCCTTAATAAGGCCTGAGAAATGTTCTAAGTTGTATAAAAATATCAACCTAGCCAAAAGATATTTAGAAATCAAGATTACATGTTTACCTGAATGGAATATGTTGCTGTGGTTAACAATGGGCTCTAAGCCAGGCTACTTGAGTTCAAATTCTGGAAAGTGCTGATTAGCTGTGTGACCTTTGTGCCTTGGTTTCTTCATTTATGAAATGAAAATACTACTACCTCTCTCACAGAGTTATAAAGTTAGATACTGCCTGGAAGGCACTTGGAATTGCACCTGACACAGAATAAGTACTCCAATAAAAAAATTTCTAGTATCATTATTGACTTCATTTTCTGTATTTGTGATTTTTTTTTTTTTTTTGGTATGTAATTGAACTGTGCCAAGTACTCAGACAGTTTGTCAAGACATTGGGAATCTCCTGCTTCTCTGACTCAGTGAAGTGTTCCCACCCTAGGAGAGACAGCAGTCCAAATCCCATTCTACCACATTGATTTTTTTACACATTATTGTTACTATTTTAGAAATGGGGTCTCCCTGTGTTGCCCAGGCTGGACTCAAACTTCTGGGCTCACACAGTCTTCCCATCTCAGCCTCCCGAGTAGCTGGGACTACAGGCACCTGCCACCATGCCCGACATAAACATTATTGATATGGTCAGTAATTCCTTTTCCAAATTCAGCTCTCTTTCTCAGAATTTCAGCACTCACTGGAAAGCAGAAATAGTGTGCTTGCTCCTGGGCATGCCCCGACGTCTGTTTATTTCCTCCTCAGTACTTCAAAACCATGATTTGATTTTAGTCTTTTCTGACAGCAAAGCAAAAGTTCGATCAGAAAACATGGAATGACAGATTCCATTAGAATCTGGAGAAAATAGCATGCTGGGTTGAGCACGTTAGACTACATTTTTTGGAAGGGTGTGAGCCATGAAAATACCTTTTTTTCCAGGATCTAATTGCAAGTTACCTTGTACATATCTGAAAGTGCTTAAAAACACTGACTGTGGAGCCAGAATTCCTAGTTTTAAAGCTTATCTCTACCAATTTGTTAGTTGAATAACTTTGGGCAAATTATTGATTTCTATGAGCCAGTTTTTATGCACTTGTAAAAGCTAAATAAAAGAACCTATCTTAAAAGTTGTTCTGCAAATTATATGAACTAATATGTATAAAGTATTAATAGCCGGAATACTGCGTGGCGTGTAGTAAGTACTGTGTAAGCGTTACTTGTTACAGAGTCATTATTTATGGATGGTCATTATTCTGTTGAGGATGAAATATTGTATCCAAATTCAACATAGGAAGAGACTTACTCTTTGCCTTTCATCTTTTTGTGATATCTTTCTATATACTTTTTTCTTTCTTTTTCTTTTCGAGATGGAGTCTTGCTCTGTTGTCCAGGCTGGGGTGCAATGGCATGATCTCAGCTCACTGCAACCTCTGCCTCCCACATTCAAGTGATTCTCTCGCCTCAGTCTCCGGAGTATCTGGGATTACAGGCACCCGCCATCATGCGCAGCTAATTTTTGTGTTTTTGTAGAGACGGAGTTTCACCATGTTGGCCAGGCTGGTTCTTGAATGCCTGACCTCAGGTGATCCACCTGTCTCTGCCTCTCAAAGTGTTGGGATTACAGCTGTGAGCCACCGCGCCCAGCCTATACTCTTTTCTTGACTCTGGTCTTGAATTTTCTTTGCCTCTTCCCAGCCTTTTACTTCCAGTTTTTCTTCTTAGATGGTACTGTTGACTTCAGAAACTCTTTTCTCCTATTCATACACTTTTCTCTAACCTTTTCAGTTCTTACCAGGGAAACTCAAGGTTCCCTGGTCATGTCAAGGACATGAAGTATGTTTGTTCTATATGTGTTTCGAATGCCTTGCATGTAGCTATAGTAGGTGCTCAATAGACACACATGAGTGAAGTATACAGAAAAACCAGCTTGCAGCCATTGGCTCATGCCTGTAATCCCAGCACTTTGAGAGGTCAAGGTGGGCAGATCACAAGGTCAGGAGTTCAAGACCAGCCTGGACAAGATGGTGAAA